GATTGTGAGCTCCATAAATTTAGGGGGTTGGTTGGATAGTTAGATTATTTTGTATAGTTTGTTCGCAGCTTTGCATACTAGACTTACCTTTATGGTTGAGCAAAACTATTGGGAGTTACATTAATTACAATCTATTAATCAATATTTTATTGTACTGCTGAATTTGTTTATTTTGCATAGGTATATCACATATATTGCTGAAGTTATTATATATGCGATATGAGTAGCAATTTTTGGTGAGAAAACTATATGTTGTTTGTCACAAGAATACTACGTTCAACTAAATGAAGCTTAGGCTAATGACGTTTTTTAAGATTCTCTAAAGATTGCATTTCGTGAGATTCTTATTTCGATCTATGTGATTAAAGAATGAGATAGCTTCTCTATGAAAAGAAAATAAAACAAGAGTGGCACGTTCGAATTTCATTCATAGTTAGAGGCATGAAGTTAAATTAAATAAATCAGGAAATAATATTTATATTGTTTTTATGTTATGCTGCATGAGTTGGGAAAAAAATGGAAACACATGACAAAGAAGATTTGATGGCATTTGCTGGAAGCTAGACCCACGAAAAAATCAGAAGGACTATTGATGCCATGTGTTCCCACTTCATTCCAATGCCAAATAAATTAATAAATCCTTTTTATTGGAATTAAATTAATAATTACCCACATGAACATATATAATAGACGAAGCTAGTCGAATAAACTAGGAAATGTAATGGTATGATTTCATCCTCTTATGTTATAGTTTACTAGACCGAAATCATCGAATATTCAAATATGCGCACTTAGTTCTATTTGTAGCTTACAAAATAAATTAGTAATTCCTACTTGTATGTATGAGAATATTATTTGTCTAAATTCATTAACTGATTAAATCCTAATAACTTACCAATCCATCGAAGAATGTCGATATATATAATCGGACCGTTTCTAGAGTTTAAGAGGCCTAAGACAAAAAAAAATTGAAGGCCCAAAAGAGTGTTAAAAAAAATTTGAGATTCAAAATTAGTGTGGATAATGATGTCAAACTAAAATTAATATGAAAAATATATATTTTATTATTTTTAAAAAATTTGGAATCTCAAAATTATGTAATACCAAAGAGGTTCTAAGACCAATGCCTCAAAAATTATAAAGTGGGTACGGTCCTGTAAATAATATTGGGTTGATTTTTCATTTAATGTTCAGTTGCTGGGAACAAAAAAGTGAGATGAACCAATTCCATCCCCATGCTTGAAAGCGAACCACATTTTGGATTTTTTTGCTCAATCGGATTGCCCCCTACTTAAGTACTTATAGTTGCTTATATCTACTTTTTGTTATCTTAAAATACACAATAAAATACAAGCTTTAGATTTTCGACTTAATCTTGCGAAAAATAGTATATATTTTCTCCTTAATATAAAGAAAAATAACTAAAATATATATTTTAAAAAATCTTCTATATATTAAAGGAGAAGCATTTTAGGCTATTTTTGATGATGTGTCATTTCCACAATTTTTTTTATCTTTTAAATTTTCTATCCACATTACCAAACATATTTATTTCCAAATCTACTTATTTTGATTACTTTTATTCTAATTGCCAAACGCATAGAAATAGTCCTAACTTGTCAAAAATAATTATTTCAAAAATTCAAATAGTAAATCATATATATCATTAAATGTGAACAAAAAAATTAACATATATTCCAAACAATTACTATTTTAAAAATAAAATACCTAAATAAATGTTATTTTATTTTCTTTTGAAAATATGTGAGCATGTAAAATATTTTTTTCACAAACATATTTTAAGATATAATTAGACACATTTTAGGACCAAAACAAGAAAGAAAGTTAGACACATTAAAGATAATGGAGCAGTTGCAAAAATGCCACTTAGAAGTGTCCATTTGCAAAAATGCTACTAATTATGGATTTTTAAACCGTAATTCTTAAAATTATAAACCCTAAAAATATTTTGACCCCTAAAACCACTTAAACCCT